TAAAGCCCAACTCTCGTTAATAGTAAGAAATTTAAACATCTGCTTTACTCATCTAGTCTGACACCTGAAGACTCATCACTCCATGCTCCTGCTAGTCTTATGGGAATATCACTCAACCCACTTCCTGTGAGCCAAGAGCGTCATAGACACAGCCCCTGGGGGTGCTGCATGGCTTTGCCCTTGGCTCACATTTCTGCCCCTCTGTTCGGTGTAGAGATCAGGACCTCCAACTGCTAGAGAAAAGAAGAGGGCATCACCCATAGAAGATGAAACAAGTTCTTAAACCCAGCACCTTTAACACATGAACACCTCCTTACCATCTTGTCTTGAATTGTATTGTAACTGTAATGTCTTCCTTATATTGTAAAGCGCTGCGCAAACTGTTGGCGCTATATAAATACTATGTAATAATAATAATGAACACACAATTTACTATACATTCAGTAAATTATAGAAACGTTTTTGACTCTAAGCAAATGCCTGTATATGAACTCTGCTATATATTTTGCTTTCCAAAAATATTTAATGTGCACTTAACCATGGATAAAGATATAAGTATTTGGCTGAATCAAGCAGTAAAAGGAGCAAGAGACCGCCAAGGAAACGCCATCCAAAATGCTCATCTGTTGACATTATTCCATCGACTTTGCAAGTTGCTGTTTTTCAGAATACGCCCTATTTTTGTATTTGATGGTGAAGCCCCTCTGCTGAAGAAACAGACTCTGGTAATTAATGTTATTTTCTATCTCCTCACACAAAGTAAGACTTAAAGCTTAAAGTGACATTAAACCCTCAGATTTTTTAACATAAAACAATACTGTAATGTGCGCCTTACTGTAATCCATGGTTGTTTCCCTTCTCTTTGCTGCTCTTCCTTTTAAATCTGTATCTGTTCTCATGCTGGGCAGAACTTCTGTTTTGCAGCAGACTGCCTTGTCTCAGGAATGGATACATGGTGTCTGTGTATCCGTTTGTATAGGTTTGTAACCTGAGCCAGCACTACAGGAAGAGGCCCTGAGCTGAAAAGGGAAGTTCTCCCCAAGCATGAGAAGACATGAGGATTTAAAAGGAAGAGCAGCAAAGAGAAGGGAAACTACCATGGATTACAGTAAGGCACACATTACAGTATTGGTTTATGTTAAAAAATCTGAGGGTTTAATGTCACTTTAAGTGTAGAAAAACTAAATGGGGATTATACAGCTCCAGTCTTCTAATATACATCTAAAGAAGTGCACCCAATGTTAATTTAGTTGGTGTAATAATCCTTCTTCCACTAATGCTGGATACCCCACACAGGGGTGATCTTCTAGCACTGCAAGTAGGAAACGCTGTGGCTGTGACTATGAAGGTAATAAGAAGATGTCTGGCTGCACTCCTTACCGGATACGTTCCCCTGTAAGATGCGGGTGGGTGCTGGTAATGGCCACTGACGGCACTATGAGATATGATATAATTTTCTAGAGATGTCACCAGCACACCATAATATCTTGTGCAATCAGAAAAAGTCAATTTATTGACAAATATTGCCGTTCAAGTGCTTTTGGGGCCACGCATGTTCCCCTTCATCAGGCTCAGAATGATGAAGGGTACCCTGCGTGGCCCCGAAAACGCTTGTACTTGAGTGGCAATATTTGTCAATAAATGGACTTTTGCTGATTGCACAAGATATTATGGTGTGCTGGTGAGATCTCTTGACACTCGTGACTAAGAAGGGTCCCGCCGTTCGCCACCCTTTACTGTCCTACTATTATTCCACAATGCTAGGCGTTCTGCGAATGGAGGAGTGGATAAATTATAAGACTGCCCTCTATTCCGAAAAAAAACCTTGCATTCTGGGAAAGTAATAGTAGAAGTTTTGTAAATGGCAGGGAGGACAGAAAGATTGCAGCCCCAGCCCCTCCTGCTTGCTGCACCAATTTGTCACCATGGACATTACTTTGTGATACCAGGCAGCAGGAAGGAAAAAGTGCACTTTTATTTCTAACATGACCTTGGAAAAGTGGAAGAACAATATCTGTTTAGTATCTATCTGGCCATCTAGGACTGTAGCTATAGGCTTAATTTCCTAATGAATAAATCTGTCCATGTTATAATCACATTTTACATTCTCCTTTCAGGCAAAGAGGAGACAGAGGAAGGATGTAGCAGCCAACGAAGTCAAGAAAACAAATGACAGGTTGCTGAAAACCTTCTTGAAAAGACAAGCTATTAAAGCTGCCTTGTCTGGAAACAAGCAAAGGTGTGCATCTTATATACATCTCATAGTCTTGTCCCACTGCAGCCAGTCTTCCAACATGAATGTAGGCATTCAGCAATCTCTCTTTGGTGTTTTCCAGCAATGAGGCGCTTCCTAGTCTTCCCAAAATACGGAGAAAAGAAGAGGAGGATATTTATGCTCTAGCCCCATTAGAAGAGAATGAGAGAAATAGGTACGTTGGAAAACTCTTCTTTTTTTTGTCATTGTCTTATTAAGCTAATATACAAACTGTAACGCCTGCAAAAGTACTTGTAATTTCCAAAGAATGAAAGCAATGTAGGAAATGCACTTACAATATACTCATGTTTACACTTTATTCGAAGTCAAAGCTTTCATGTTATAATTTAAATGAGCCCTTCCTTCCTGTATCTCTTATTTTCCCAGCACAGGAGCAGCAATCAGGTCAAATACCCCTATCCTGTTGGTTCAGCAAATACAGTGTAGAGCGGTTAAATTGTGCATTCTGTGCTCATTACTCCAAATTTATAAACATCTTCTGCGCATCTTTTAAAACTAGCATTTTTAATATATTTTTGTGTACTCGCTTTACCCATAGTTCTGAAGAGGAAGAAGAGAAAGAATGGCAGGACAGAATGAATCACAAGAGGATTCTTCAGGTTTTGTCAATTTTTTTTTTTATTTTATTATTATTTGCTTTAGTAGACTAGATAAAACTTCTTGAAGTCCTTCACTATTGTTTGAAGTACTGTACATTTTCCATTAATTTTAACAAGTGGTAATCTTACAAATAAGCTCAGCTTGTTTTCTTTCCTGCCTCATGTGACTCTTTTCAGACGCATGTAATACTGAAAATAGATGCTTTGTGTGCAAGGATTAGGTTTCTACCCATGGTATGTGCTTAGAAGTTAAAGCTGAAGTGTGGGCTAACACTTTACTGGGGCATTACCTAGTTACATATAAGGTACCCCTATTGATGTGTGCCCCACTGGTTGTTGCTGCTTCTGTTTAAAAAAAATTTAGTTCCATGCAGCCTATAGTTCCGATAGTGAAACTTATAGTCACGGCTGAAGAACAGCAATCACAGCGGGTCGCTTGCTATGCAGCTCCTCCACTCAGAAAACATCTTTCCCAGCAATATGTGGCGTATTGTGATTTGACAAGGGGAGATTGTAGCGTTCATATACCCCTTGTTCAATCAGAGAACAAAATGTATTTTTTTTAAAGAATACAAGGAGGAGGAGGAACTGCACTGCCAAGTAAGAATCAGCAGCCACCAGTGGGGTACACATGATTGGAACAACCTATTGGTAATGCCTCCAATAAAATGTTAGACCACACTACAGCTTTAATGTAAAACTGTAGTCCAAATGTCACCTGTCTGATGTTTTCCTGTGTTTATACCACATTGTAAGGCCTAAATTACTCAGGCAAGCGATGTGCAATTATACAACCAAAAAAATAGCTTGAAATAATTATGAATTCACCCATAGACTGCTCCTAATGAATTTTAACTGAATACTAGAATCATGGGCATAACCTAGATCATATAACAATCCATAAACCCATTGCACTCCTGACCGCTTTTTTCCATGTAGATTAGGTGGGTGTGACGGTGGTCGGCGTATGGCAACCATTTCTAGGCACAAAGAGAAGTATGGACACCGGCACTCCAAATGCAAATCAAATGCATCTGTTTATTGATGTAGATGCAGAAAATCACATTCATGGCACTGAATGTGATTTGCTGCATCTACATCAATAAACAGATGCATTTGGAGTGCTGGAGTCCATACTTCTCAACTGTAGATCATGGGGCCCTATAGCAAAATTTTGATGGGGACTCTTGGCAACCTCCCTACTGTTGATTCATATTAAAGTCAGGTAGCAGGAGAGCTGTCTGCATTGTCTCCTGTCAGTGGCGTCACAAGGGGGGCTGCGGCACACACTGGGTGACACAGCCACCTCTGGCAGTAGGTGCCTTGGGATGACCTTCTCCTGTGGTCCCCCACCCTTACAACAACAATATCCCTCTTGTATGAAGGAAGAGTCGGGCACTCAGTCATGGACTGAGTGCCGACAGCAGTTCAAGGGAGGAGGGGCCTGGGCGACATACCTTATCCCACCAGATAAACGTCCCCTCCTCTTTTTGTCTGCGTCCATCACCGAGATCGCCGCTCCAGGTGACACCCTGCCTGGGGACGCCTCTCTCTCCTGTCCATCTCATGTCAGCTCGACTTGATTGGAAATGTCACAAGAGGTATAGGGCCAGTATCAACAGCAAGTTCTGCAATCCTTAATGGGCCCACTTCCAAGCCCCGGCCCCATGCAGCTGCTATTGTTACGCCACTGACTAGAATTTTTTTTGTATTTTGCTATTGTCACCTGCAACTGTCTGGGTATAATGTTATGGGTTGCATGGCTAATGTTACTGCAAGCCACCTAGCGACTCTCAGTGTAATTTAGGAACACTGATGTGCTAGTTGGGTCTCCACCAGTCAGGTTTAAAACTTGACGGGTATTTTTCCCTTCTTAATTAGGAAGAATTTTTTGCTGACCCACATTCAGTGGATGTAGACTCTGAGGATTTCACCAGCCTTCCTCCCGAGGTGAAGCATGAAATCCTGACTGACATGAAAGAGTTCACCAAACGAAGAAGGACATTGTTTGAAGCCATGCCAGAGGTATAGTGACAAGTAGGATCAATACACATTATTACGTTATTTGCACCCAGCATTATTTGTTGTTTTGTTTGTTTAGTTAAATACATAAACCATCTGGTTTCTTCTCTCCTGTTCTTTATCTGTTTGCAAATATTGAAATATTTATATCTGAACTACACATGCTATTGATCACAATATAAACCCCGTATTGTCAAAAAGTAAATAACACAGATGTGAAATACCAATAATTGCACAAGATTCCCATCCATTCGTCACTATATAAATGATCATTCGTCACTATATAGGGAATAAAGTTAGCCATACACTGTGCAAGGTGGTGAATGTGTCAGTTGCTTTTGTAGTCTAGAAAGTATTAACCCTTGTTGTTGTTTTTTTCATTCAAATAATTTTATTGGGTTTTAACAGATAAGATGAAACAACGAACATAACAAGACATACAAAAGTAGTGCATATATTGCGCACAAAGGGGTAAACCTGTACAAATAACATGAACAAAGCAATAACAATACAACCGTCATTAGTTTGAAATTGAAAACTCATAATATAATAATATCCATGATCAGGTATATAAGAAATACACACAAAAAACCACCTTTATAGGGTGAAGTCTCAACTCGGAGAGACAAGCCTTTTTTTTTTGCATACTTTAGCTAAGGATGGCTTTCCTAGGTGAGCTTTTCTATTGATCGAGGCTGTAGAATCAATGCAAGGAACACTGCATTCTGGTTTTATTTTTGTACTATTGAAATCCTCATGTATGAGCAGCCACTAGATAGTCCTTTGTATTCGAAGGTTTACATATGCACTCAGATGACTTCAAACAGAAATAACCGGTTAAAGTGTAGGTTTTATTATACCCATGTGTGGGTGCCAGGAGTAAACCGTTAAATTCTAGGTTTTATTATACCTATGTATGTGTACCCATGTATAATAAAACCTACACTTTAAGGGTTTACTCATGTTTTAAGTCCTCTGAGTTCCTACTCATCTCTTGCTATACTATTGGATCACTAAGGCATGTTTTTCTGGATTGTGTGGTGGTACCAATTTTCTACAATATACGGTACCTGGAAAAAGAAGTTTTATTTAAGATTTCCACTTTTGCTTTATTTTTCTTGTGCCATAAACATATTGATAGAGTAATCTAACAGGTAATATATAAACTGACCAGCAGGTGGTACCAGTTGCATTTTACATAGACAGCATTTGGCTTTCTGCTCATACAAGACATACAATAGCTCTGTAATGGCTTAAAAGAAATACAGTGATTTATGGTACAGTAAATGTAATCTGTGATTCTTTGCTGCCTGCATGCTAGATGACATAAAGATCTGAATAACCGCCAACATAATAAATATACCAAAATTTTGCTATGTGTTGTGTACCAATATTGCTTTTCGTATTAATGATTTGTTGTAATTTTTTTTCATTTGAACATGTTAGTTTGTACCAAGACATAGCTGTCTGTTCTACATTATTGTTGTTACGTCAATTTTTCAATACAGTGTAATGGCTTCATCATAGAAAAGTTAACACCTCAGAAATTAAAGGAGAACTGTGAGCTGAGTGACTTTCTCTCAGCCTCATAGTTCGAGCCGACGTGTGACAATGAAACTGTCACACGTCGGCTCAATAGATCGGGAAGTGAGCGAACACATACTGTCGCTCGCTCACTTCTCGATCCTGTCTCTGAAGAGAGCCGTGACTGTCACTCATATCTCCCTGCAGGGATTCCCCGCTCCGATCCTCCAGCACTAACTGGAGGAACGAACGGGGGAGGGGGCGGGTACAGATGGCTCTGCCTCTAGATAGGCAGAGCCAGCTGTCAATCACGCAGCTGGGTGGATCTCGACAGTAATGTTGTGATACGTCCCTGCTGCGGTGGTCTCAGTATACCGTGAGCTGTAGCTCGCGGTATACTGAGCTTTGAGTCACGGGAGGACACTAGTTTATGTCCTCCTGGGACCCTGAGGAGAACTATGGGGAAAAACACTGACCCCATAGTTCTCCTTTTAACTCTGCAGAGGTTCCATTTTGCATTGTAAATATCTGAATGAGCTAACTGCCTGTCTGGTCAGGTCCTTTGATTCGGCAAACAGAGGTCCTTTGAGTGCCTCTCGGGTGCTATAAAGAAAACCTAACAAGCTTGATTAGATTTACCAACATGCTAATTTTCACAATCCTTTCCAATTAATATCAGTTAGGCACGGTGATATGGTAATGTAAAGAATAAACTCCCAATATCTGTGTGCATCCAGGTAAGACTCCATTCTAAAAGGCTACTGCTTGTCAAAAATAATATTAATGAAAAGCTGGCAGTGGACACCATATTTTCCCTTGATTACTGTACTTGGCTGACAGCCCCAGCAGATTGTCTATGTGTGGTTGGAAAAATCTAACCTGGCTAATAGGCTTATCTTTTTTTTAAAAACATGCTGATCGGAGGTGTATTTTTAGATATCAGTGTGCACCAGACAACATGATGGTTGTCCTCTTCTGCTAAAATGAGCAAATGTCTATATATACCCATAGACCCATGTTAACCTACTATTTAGATATTTAACACTATCTCCAAATTATCTCTATTTTGTTGGCAGGACAGGTGCCTGCAATGTGTGCTCATCTCCTTCTAAAAATACCAGTCATCCAGCTGTTGGGTTAACTTACTGGCCTCCGGTATTTGATCGGTAACAAATATGCAGTTCAGGGAAATCAGAAGTCATTATCTGCATGCCTGTTCTGACTCAGGATGATGCAGGATCACAGGCAAGCAACTAGTATTTTTGAAAGGAGAAGTCCACAATTGTAGCCTCTGTGTTTCTATTTTGACAGGGTTGCTTTAACATGCTGAATTTGCACGGAAGCTTGTACTGTGTTGAGGTCTAGAACATAATAACATGGTTGAAGTCCATGTTGTACTGGGTAGCCATCACCAGCAGCCACTTGTAGTTTGGTAGCAGTTTCATGGTATTTGGTAGCAGTTTTTGGATGAAGATCCATTGGTGTACTGGTCATATATTTTCTTCTTAGTAGCAGCTTGTGACATGAACGCATCTTCCAACTTGCTTGACATGGTTGGTAGCAGTCCAGATGGGTTTTGGTTAGGGTCGCTGTGCATCAGGTCAAGTTACATATACAAGCATGTTGGATGTAGGTTGAGCATGGCAATGGATGCAAGTAGGCTGTAGCTAAGGATGTGGGTGCAGGTCTCCATATACAGGCTCACATAAATAAATATCTAGCTCATTAACAGATTTGGGCAACATTGCTTGCATTTCTTCCTGTTTCCATGTTACTGATTTCATTTTGGTAAAAATTTAGCTTATAATGAAAGTGTTAAAACGTGCAGATGGCATTGTAATATGATGACATTGATGTTCTCTTTTGAAGGGGTCTGATGATTTCTCCCAGTATCAGCTGAAAGGGCTGCTGAAGAAAAACGATTTGAACAGGTGCCTCAATAATGTACGGAAAGAGATGAGCCAGCAGCACGTGGGGGAGGTCCGCGCTCAGTTTGAGACAGACGGGGGATTTATGAAAGAGGTCGAGTGCAACCGTCTGGTCTCAGAGGACACTTCTCATTATATTCTAATTAAAGGTATGAGTAAACAAAAAACGACTATGAATAGCTACCAGATGTACAATATCATATGACATTATTTTCTTCATGAATGCACAGCGCTACTGTACAATTGAAGCTACTGATTTTATTACTGTGATACAGTCAAGCTACATACACAGTAATAAAAATGGGTGTTTTATATTATCCTTATTTGTTTACTTTCTAGTTCTTGCAGCAAAGGGTGAAAATACGCTCTGCTAGTGGCATGCTGGAGAGCCTGACCTCTGCTGAACACTGAGGACAGCGGTGTGGGCCTGCAGCTGTCCAAAACACTCCCTGTACACCACTCTAGTCAACAATAGTAGTACCTAGGTATGTTTTAGCTCAGGTCTCCTTTAAAGAAGAATTGCTTTCCATTTAAGAAAGGGGGTGTTTTAGGCTATTGAAATCACTTGAAGCATTATAACACTTTAAAAAAAAAACAGACACCCAATCATAAAATTGTACTGTCTATAGTAGGGATGCACCGATACCAAGTACCGTACTCGGCACAAGTACAGATACTTTTCCAGCTCCATGACTAGACTAGAGAAAAGTTCAAAAGTTAGGAGGCAGCTGTCATTTGTAAGGAGCATATGAAGCTTCGGGGATTTGTGCATCCCTGTTTTAATGTATGATTTGTTTTTATAAATAAAGGGATGCACCAATACCATTTTTACAAATACAATTTATTGTAATGTGACAGTTTTTCTAAAACAATACAGACTAATGATTTCAGGACAGTGGTGGAGTGCCAGAGCTAGGTCCCAGCTGCAACCTCTGCAACCCTGGTAGTTCTCATGAAAATGCCAAGTATCGGCACTGGTATCTGAAAAGTATCAGTGCATCCCTAGTATATAGGAAGTCTAGCCTCTCTGATTACGGTTTTATTTTTTATCAAGCATTGCTATAATGCACCAGTCTTGCACTCCCTCTTTTGTCAGTAATGTAGTAATCCAGAATGTACCTGCTTTTGATGCTGGAACAACCACAGCAAGCTCCTGGCTGCCTCAAACCTGCCTTGGAAGTTCAAATGTGATTGTTGATCCCAGAAGCAGATAGGGAGGAAGTTCAGGAAGTATTCTTCTGCAGCCCTATTGACCCTGTCATGGAGAGTGTGTACTGCGGACAGGAGATTAAAAAATGTTAAAGCAAATTCGAGAGAGCTTTGACTTTAGACATAATTGCTGTGCTTGCTGGATAGCATGAAAAGCTCACTGGTTTTTATATGGGACTTGCCTGGTACTGCTCTTTACAGCAATTTTGAGTGGGTTTTTCAATTGATTAAATGTGTAAATCCTCGGCTAAAGTTGTGTGAAAACATTTATGAGTAGACGCATAGAGTACTATTTTTTTTCTGCAATGTAAATATTTTATTTTGAAACCAGAATTATATTTTAGGCACAAAGTGTGGCAAAGTTATTGACAAATGAAATTAATTTTTGCAAAATGTATGTACATATATTTGTGTATTGTATCTCTTTTTTTTTTTAAATTGGCTAAATAAACTAAGCAAAGCAAGGGGAGAGTGTAATAATTATTTGGGATAATTAAGCAAAATAACGGTTATTCAGGAGTTAAACAGGAACCACCTCCGTTTCCTGTTCTTAGCTGACAGGAGTAACACCCGGGGTGGTCTGCTGCTGTGGCCCATCTGCTTCAAGATTTGACGTGTTGTGTGTTCAGAGATGGTTTTCTGCATACCTTGGTTGTAATGGTTATTTGAGTTACTGTTGCCTTTCTATCATCTCAAACCAGTCTGCCCATTCTGACCTCTGATATCAACAAGGCATTTTTGTCCACACAACTACCGCTCACTGAATATTTTTTCTTTTTCGGACTATTCTCTGTAAACCCGAGAGATGGTTGTGTGTGAAAATCCCAGTAGATCATCAGTTTTTGAAATACTCAGACCAGCCCACCTGGCACCAACAACCATGCCAGGTTCAACGTCCCTTAAATCCCCTTTCTTCCCCATTCTGATGCTCCGTTTGAACTTCAGCAAATCATCTTCACGATGTCTAGATGCCTATATGCATTGAGTTGCTGCCATGTGATTGGCTGATTAGCAATGTGTGTTACCAAGCAATTGAACAGGTGTACCTAATTAAGTGGCCGGTGAGTGTACATTGCTTTATACAATGTATCAAGGTTTGTATACATATTTAACAAGCACTGATGCTAAAACACCTGTTTCTGAGAATCATTGTTGAAAGATCTGCTTCTGGTTTTCAGTGCTCATTAGTATTTGGTACTCATAATTTGCCTTCTTACTTTTAGGGATTCAGTCAAAGACTAAAGATAAAAAGGAAGATAATGCAGAAGAAGCAACACCCTCTAGTTCACAGGATGCAACACCAAAAACGTACCTTGATTTTAAGTTGCAATCCGCTCATAAATCTAAAAAAACTAAATACTCTGTTCCAGAAGCTGCACCACCCTCCCCAAGAACACTGTTTGCTATCCAAGAGGCAATGTTGGAGAACATCTCTGATGATGAAGTTCATGATAATAAGGTTCCCAAAAAGGACCCTTCTAAATCTGTCTGTACAATAGATGGTAGTGTCTCCCCAAGAACCCTGCATGCAATTCAACAGGCTCTTGCTGAGGATGAAGAAATGGTGAACAGGAAGAGGTCTGTTGTGATAAGTGATGAAGAAGAGGAACAGCCTAGAGCTAAAGTGCTGATTATCAGCAGTTCAGATGAGGAGGATGCTTCTCTGGTCACTCAATTTGGAGCACAAACAACCCCTATCATACCTGCTGCAAGGGCTGAATTTTCACCCAAACCTGCCCAAGATAAATCAAATGCTAGCAATGAGAAATCACCACTTAATTCAGTGTCTAATCTGAAACACAGTAAATCACTTTCAAAACTGGTTGCATCACCATTAGGAGTAGATTTTGGTGCACATTTAGTAAAAAGGAATATCTTTCATTCACGGGACACACCTGTGGATTCATCTTTGAAAAGTCTTTCAAGTGGTTTTGTTGCAGGCTCTCCTATGAAGCCTTCTGTGGCATTAGAAAGCCACCAACTAGAAGCTTCCACAAATGTAGAAGGTGACATGGTCATTTCTTCTGAAACAAAGACCATCAAAATAAAATCTCATGGCCAAGCTGATTTTCAGACAATTGGCAATGAAAGTAAAGGAATTCTTCAGTCAGCAACTGGTAAAGTAATGAGTCACATCCACCTACCTAAGGTATCTTCATCAGGGGTGTTGTCTACAACCAACAAGCTGTTAACTGAAATAGACATCGAAGCTCAAAGTCTACCAGATGTGGTCCTACTAGAGCAAAAGGTCACTGAGTCCAAAGTGGAAGATTCCAGCAGTCGGCAGCCTTCTTCCAGCAATGCTCCAGACATTGCCTATGTCCCTATGACTCCAGAAAGTATTCCTGTTACTGAGGGAGACTCCGACGTAGAAAAAGAAGTGGATTCAGATTCTGATGGTAAGTAGTCATCTGCTTTTATGTGGCATTTTTTACTGCTTGCCTGATTGTAGGGAATCTGATGTAGCAATCTGTTTATTGCAATATTGATTAGTGATAATTAGTAACTGATTATCCTATATGGGAAGATATTATGTTGCAGAATATTAAATTAGCTGGGAACAAAAGCATAACTTAAGAACCACTTAGTCTTGAGTTCAACACATTCACGGACTTATCAGGGTGATATATCATGTCATATCAATTCTAATTCAATATTTCCCTTTTTCACTCATTAATACCATGGAATTTAGTGGCCCAACCTTTTTCATTGTTGGTTCCTTTTTTATTGTGTTTGTATTTCTTGTTTTACTACTTTGTGATGTTTCTTTCCTCCAGGTAGCTTCATTGAAGTAGAAAGTGATTTAGGTGATGGTAACTCCCAGTTGGTACAGGCACCAGAAACTTCTAATGATATAATTCCTGTAACAACCAGTAGGGGATCTGATCTTGCCACGACATCACAGAGCTCTGGCACACATATAGAGAACTCTCTTACAGAGAATGACCATGCAGGTGGCCAGGATGTTGAACTTCAGCAGAATGAAGAATCAAGAGATGAAGAAGATGCAGTCAATGAGTGGCAAGACATAAGTATGGTAATACAGCTCTCTGGTCAGACTATATCAGCAAGCATTGCATTGTGCGTGTGACATGTCTCAATATAAACAATCTTAAACTTCCCTGTATTGTTTTCCCCTTCCAAGTGTCTCTGTCATTTTTTTCTTATTCGATGGAGAAGACAAAAATAATGGCTGAAGTTAATAGTTGCATAGGGTTAACCTAAAATACCACAATGAGCTAAGAAAATGTTTACAAATGTATTTGAAAGGATTAAGGATATTATCAGAAAGAGATATTAGATTTAAGATTGTTGGGGTGACCTTATGTGGCATATCTGACTTTGATCCTCTCAAGGACACTGCACTCAGCCTCTCCCCAACCAAAAGCTACAAATGTGTAAAAAAACAAAATTGTAATGTCAAGTAACTGAAATAGCATTTTGAAAAAAAAATGTTCATGTATATGATGAAAGATGTTCATCAATAACATTAGACTTTTTATGGGGGGAAAACAAAACTGCAGCAGGTATGGTTAAGGAAACCGGTTGAGCGTGAGAAAGTTGTTTTTTGGGGTTGAAATATAGCAGTTTCAATGTAAAGCTTTTCAAGCTGAACTTCCGGCACAAAAATGTTTATTTAAATGCATTATTCCATAGCCACACAAACCATATAAAACCACTTTCTGTGCACCTAATACCCTTGTAAAGACAGTAAACATATTGGTGACATTGTCACTGAGTTGTACATAGCCAGTGTAGATAAAAGAGCTGTGGCAAGGACTCTGCAAGTGCATCCACTACAGATTTACTCATGCCTTGAAAGAAGGTTACACAACACATGCTTGGGGAAGACACTTTTAATCTGAAACGTTGCTTCAGTGGATTATAGGGAACTCCTGAAAACCTGCGAGTGAGAGAAATACAATATTTCTTCTAACACACTAATCCCCTGGCTGGCTCCAGTACTCTGAATCACTTGCCATGAACAAGAATGCAGATAGGAAAGGCATAGTAAAGCCAAAACATATACTTGCTCCAGGTTGATACTAAAGCTATTGAAACAGCATGAGAGCCAGGTAACTAGGATTTTCAGAAGAAACAGCCCATATTGGCAGTCTCTGTTATCTTACTTCAGGCTTTATTTAAAGTGTATTTTCACTTTTGTAGTCAAAATCAAGAACCCC